TATATGTATACGCGGTATAGGAGTAGATGCAACTTTTATACAACGTTTATAGATACATATTAAAACTCAAGCTTTATTATTTTGGTGAAAGCTCTTATACAACGTTTGTAGACACTTCTTGACAGCTGCTTTGAAATTTAGTAGAGAGTAAACCTGAGAGGCGTTTGTTGCACTCTTTTATGACTCCTAAATAATCATTGTACAGCAAGCGGTGAAAAGCGTTTATAGCACTTTTCAATGACTCCTTAACAACCGGATAGAAGCAACTTTTATACAACGTTTATAGATACATATTTAAACTCAAGCTTTATTGTTTTGGTGAAAGCTATAATACAACGTTTGTAGACACCTCCTAACAGCTGCTTTGAAATTTAGTAGAGAGGAAACCTGAGAGGCGTTTGTTGCACTCTTTTATGACTCCTAAATAATCACTATACAGCAAGCGGTGAAAAGCGTTTATAGCACTTTTTAATGACTCCTTAATAACCGTTGTGTAAGTACTCACAATATTCAAAGATTAAAATTAGTTTAACAATTGTCGTGGTGCGCCAAAATAATTGCTTGTACAGTTTTTATTAATTTAATTTATTTGTGCACATTGAAAAAATATGTAATTATGCCATAATTCACATTCTGTGATCATGGAGGAAGTAGTAACAAGCATCTGTTTAATCTTTGATTGATATTCTTTCAATTAATCTCTCTAATCATTAATTGAGAGAATTTATCTAGAAATGTTATCGTTGATTATATGATATATGTCTTAAATTAATGTTTGCATTTATTAATAACACCTATATATAATTTACCTCTACTCCACCAAAGGTTTCTCGAAGCAAGATTCGAACTCATGATCCCGGATTGCCAGCCGCTTCTGTTTCCATCTGTTTTTTCCACATATTTTGATCATATGAGAGAAGTATATCAAGCTCATCTTGAGTGACTTCTCTTGCAGTCGAATAATCATTGCCTTATGGTTATATAAACATGCCTATCACTTGTGCTATTTTTAGCAACAAAATTGTGGTTGGTCGAATGTAAACAATCATTTAAGAGTGCTCCAAGCAGCTTTTGAAGCTTTTAACCAAATGGTAATACAACTACATTCTTGTTCAACTCTGGAAGCTATTATTCAACGTTTGATCAACTCAGGTGTTGTAAAAGAGCTCCCAATGGTTTGTTTTGATGCGTTTATTCCACATCCTATATGGCTCCTGTCAAACAGTTTAACCGAACGTAAACAATCATTTAAGAGTGCTCCAAGCAGTTTTTGAAGGTTTTAACCAAATGGCAATACAACTACATTTTTGTTCAACTCTGGAAGCTATTATTCAACGTTTGATCAACTCAGGTATTTTATAAGAGCTCCCAATTGTTTGTTTTGATGCGTTTATTCCACGTTCTGTATAGCTCTTGTGAATCAGTTTAACTAAGGTGCTATAAAAGTTATCGTAGGTCTTATAAAGCATATAGTTAAACCGAACGTAAACAATCATTTAAGAGTGCTCCAAGCAGCTTTTGAAGCGTTTAACCAAAAAGGCAATACAACCAACAATCAATACGAAACTAACGATTTTAAATTGGCTCACCACTTTAGTAGCCTATTGGTCCCAAGCAAACGATTAACGTACCCTATTCTAGTCGAAATTCTATTACTACACTATGTTTGTTTTGATTCGCTATGAAAGTTTGACAGATAACATCAGGGGTGTGTGGATTCATGCAGAACATGCAGGGGTGAGTGAAATAGCTTGGGACTGCTTGGGACCGTTGTTCTGGTACTGAGTGAGCCAAAAATAATAATGATTTTCTTCGGGACCCAGTGGTCTTAGAGTTACCTCTATGATACAACTACATTCTTGTACAACTCTGGAACCTATTATTCAACGTTTGATCAACTCAGGTGTTTTATAAGAGCTCCCAATGGTTTGTTTTGATGCGTTTATTCCACATCCTTTATGGCTCCTGTCAAACAGTTTAACCGAACGTAAACAATCGTTTAAGGCTCTGAACCATTTGGTAGATTATTTTAACTTTTGGTTAAAATTTGACAGATGGAAAGTTATCGATTAACCCTGCTATCCGAGCATGGTTATTTCTGACAGACAAGAAGTTAAATTTTGACAACCGTGGCTCGAAAACCGGTCGATCGACAGCACAGGGATTTTCGAACATAGAAAATAACTTTCGAAATGTCACTTTTAACCACGAGTTAAATTTAACTCGGCAAATGGTTCACAGCCTAAGAGTGCTCCAAGCAGCTTTTGAAGCGTTTAACCAAAAAGGCAATACAACTACATTCTTGTACAACTCTGGAAGCTATTATTCAACGTTTGATCAACTCAGGTGTTGTATAAGAGCTCCCAATGGTTTGTTTTGATGCGTTTATTTCACGTTCTATATAGCTCTTGTCAATCAGTTTAACTAAGGTGCTATAAAAGTTATCGTAGATTCGTAGGTCTTATAAAGCATATAATTAAACCGAACGTAAACAATCATTTAAGAGTGCTCCAACAGCTTTTAAAACTTTTAATCAAATGGCAATACAACTACATTCTTGTTCAACTCTGGAAGCTATTATTCAACGTTTGATCAACTCAGGTGTTTTATAAGAGATCTCAATTGTTTGTTGGGATTGCCACCGGCCGGCCACTTGCTTGCCCTGAACTGAAAGTGGTGGTACAACCATAGAGGTAACTCTACACCTAGGGGAAGTACAACTTGATCTGAAGTAATATTTGATGTAAAAATTGCTCAAATTGGTAGTTATTATAATTTTTAATATAAATATTAATGATATTAACTGTCAAGCGGAAAGCTTCAAAGTAAAAAAAAATAAAAGTGTAACTTTATCGCATACACTCAATGACGTTGCACCGTCGTTGTTTATGTTTACTGCAGCTTTCTGTTTGTCATAATGTATGTCTAGATTTTCGTTTTCGATAGCTCTGATCGATTTCGACTTCAGCTTTTCATGATAAAAACGGTACTGGACGTTCCCCCAGCAACAAATCTCTCCAAGTTGCATGCTCATGGCGAATCGAGCGTAATATGACCACGGAACCATCACTCTGGGATTCCGTTAACAGGGGCGGCGTTGTCAATCGATTCCTGTTCCATCGGAGAACAGCACATTGGTTCACAGATGATGAAGAATTCGCGGAAATTAATTCCTGGGAATGGAAGTGCGGCCGATTATGCTACCAAAAAATGCCGAACATGAGTACAAGGAGCGGATTTTGGTGGCTAGCAAGACCACAAAGGAATGACTTGCCTCTCGTGTGAAATACATTTTTGATTAAACGAATGTCAAATGTACACTTAAAACCAAAATAGTCAAAAACAAACAAAAAACAACTGTCAGACTAAGTATAAGATTCGCAAATATCACACATATTATAATATTTAATATTTCCACCATCGGTATTGATACTGATACTTGAAGCTGTCCTTCCCCTAGCTCTACACAGAAAAAAAAGTTGTTGAATATTACATCCAAACTGCTGCAACCAGGTCAATCCATCGGTTGTGTAATATAATATAACGTTGTACGATGTACATCGATTTTGCGAACAAAATTACATCCATTGATGTAATATTGTATCTTTTTTTTTTATATCTTTATTAAGGAGACTTTCAGCCGTTGGCTGGCTCGTCTCCGAAATATTGTATCTGCTTTTTACTATTACATCATTATTTCATACATCAGCTTGAATTACATTAATCGATATTACATTTTTTTTGCTGTGTAAGACTCGAAGGTCCCGAAATAACGTGCTCAACTTTTTGGCTCAGCTCTGGTACTCTCTTTGGTCCCAAGCTAATCGATTCACCCCTCGAAACATAGGAAAAACCACTAACCCCTCATTTTATCTGTCAAAATTTCATAGCGAATCAAAACAAACATTGCGTAGTACTAGAATTTCGACTAGAATGGGGTACGTTAATCGTTTGCTTGGGACCAATAGCGAGGGGGGCGACTCTATCTACGATGCAGAAAAGATTGTGTTTTGCTTTGGCTAGCTGCACGCACGATGAGTAGATAGAAGGAAGATTTATGTCGATTTTGAAGATTTTCTGCAAAAAGATGAAGCACGATGCAAGTAGATGCGAGAAATGAAAGATGATTTTTCGAAGATTGATTCACTAGTGTGAGATTTTTTGAGCATCTAGAATTGAGATTTAGATGTGTCGCCCCCCTCGACCAATAGACTAGTCAAGTAGTGAGCCAATTTAAAATCGTTTGACATCAGGCATACATTTGATTTCGATGCTGATGTAGACATCAAAATCAAACGTTGGGCTAATGTAAATTTCTATTCGGGTGGTTTACTGTAAAGAGCCTGAATTTATAAAGAGACGATATGTCAAAATTGGAACAATCGATTATCTGTCAAAGTCATAGGAAAAGTCATTCCAATCGAGCAGAAGACCTGTCAAATGGATAAGATGTCGCCTCTTTATAAATTCAGGCTCTTTAGTTTACTGAAAATTAGTTTATTGAACGGAACATGAGAGATGAGCTCGGATGAGTGAAAAGAACTAAATTTTGGGTAATTTTTTGGCTCCCTGATGGCCAATTTGTTGTTGTTAGATTTAATGAGGGCGATTTATTGAAGGCGTATTCTTAACGTTCCGCGTTTACGGACGAAATTATAAAAATGACGAGTTTTCATGGGAATATGAACAAAACGCTCAACCCAAATAAAAATGGCTATATTTTACGATGATAAATATAAATGTGTTGAAAAAAAAATATTGCTACACCTTCAATTAAAAAAAAAATTAATACGTGCAAACTTGCTCGGTTTTTCTTCTCGTTTTTCTCCATTTGTTTGCATTTTGCTAGTTTCGTCCTAATCACAGTTTGCTCCCAGAATTTTCCATTCATTCCTTCTCTTTTGTTTTGTTTCAAAGATCGCAACAAACGGCGCGCACCGGCGGTGTTTACTTTTCTGCATTCGTGTTTTTACTCGTATACGAGTCGGTTACGTTTAGTAGCGTTTAGTCACAGAGTACGGGACAGTGATCGGACTGTAATTTAAATGTTATCATACAATCGCTTTTACTTTTAATGTGTAGGTATCTAGTTCTTTAAAAATTTTGTGCGAATTAGTTTTGTTAAAAGCCGGTAAATAATGGCGACGGAGCTGGAGAAATTGCTGTTCCTTCTGAAAGGGTGCATCGATTCGCAACATGCCGCCAAGGCAAAGGAATGCATCCTGACCATCTCGGATCTGATCATCGGCGGAGATGGGCAAAATTCCGCCGAATCTGAATACTACCTGGACACCCTAGTTAACTCCTCGAACGGAGCGCTTGTGTTCCTTCAGCGTTCCATCAAAGCCTCCGGCCGGTTCCAGAAAGCCAACGAGGAGATTTTCGATTTGCTAAGAAAGCTGATCCAGAAGCACAGTCACCTCGTTCGAAAGTCAGTCGAAAAGATCGTCCGTGAGTGCATCCGCTACGTTCAGTCGTCGTCGGCCAGTGCCCGGGAGCGGGAACTGGCCACGGCCGTCATACAGGACCTGTTGGTTTACAAATGTCTGGACGAAAACTATGACATGCCGCAGCTGCTGGGCGACCTGTTGGGTGTGTTCGATCAGCGAAAGCTAACCAACCGCTTCCAGCAGAGCCTGTTCGAGCTGATCGGACTGATGGCTAAAGAGTTTCCGGAGTGCGTGAACGATGCCCGGCAGCGACGTATTCTGGACATCATGATGAGCGTTGCCGAGGGTCAACTGCTGGAGGAGAGCTATCCTTCGTTGATTTCGCTGGCCGGGGCACTGCAGGGGTTGAACTACTTTCTGGTCAACTTTGCTCCGTCCGCCGGGCTGGGTGATTCGCCGGCGGAGACGACGCCGAAGGAGGACGACCTGTGCCGGCGGATTTACGTGATCGTTAAGAAGCTGTCGGATTGGGACGAGGCGGTCAAGGAGAGGCTGGCGTTCAGAAGTGAGTACAGCTTTTTTTTTTCAATGAATTTTTGGAATGGGAAAAATATTTACCTTGCTGAAACAGGTACATACGGGTTTGTGGTTTTCCCCAGCGTTGGTAGATTCGAGTTAGGTACTAACGCGGTCACTCCGTACAGCTATATAAGATGAGTACATTTTTCTTAGATTCCCATATTCAATCGTTTGAGAGGTGTGATAGTTTCTAAGTGTGTTTGCTGTTGAGTGAATCGAGCTCTACATTTGTGATATTGTGGTTCCAGTTCGCTGATGTGTTAATGTGTTATTTTGGATTCGTATCCATGAGTCCTGCATCATCGATCGACGTTCGGTGCTTTCTGTTTTAAGTTCTATTTCCCGGAAACAGAAACGATTGATGCCGCAAGAGTTTAGTTAGGTATGTGGTCAGTTTTCTCTGATCAGTTCTTCCTCGCATTCAGGAAGCTATTTCAAAAGTGAAATAAGTAATAACAAAGCTTTCGGCTAGAAGTTCAATGCTGATGACAGCTGATGTATAATTTCTTCTCTCTTACGATGTTATTCTTTTCCGAATTCATCTTTTTGATTTTTTCGCAGTCTCATTGTAATTAGTGTTTATAGAATGCATAATTGTATATGTTTTTGCATGTGGAACCTGGAAAAGATTTAAATCTTTTAATGTCGGAGCTGATTCGTTTGTTTGCTGCAATGCCTCTGCCCATTTTATTTGAAGATTGTATGGTAGTTTTCTTAGCCGTTTCTTCAATTAATCTTTGATCCCGTAAATAATCTTGATATTTTATCACCTCTAGATTATTAGTAAGATTTCCTAGGGCATACGATATCTCTGCTACGGCACCTTTGTTCTCCTTCCTTATTCTTGACAGATCCGCTACAAGCTCCTTGTAGATAGTTTCTGGTCGTCCAAAGTTGAGATTTAATCGTTCCATTATGTTAGGAACATTTTCAGAATCGATCATTAGTTGCTGGACACTTTTCGCTGTATGTCCTTCCAACACTCGTTTCAATCGATTCAAATTTTCTAAGTTGCTGAATTTGCCTTCTTGCGTGGTATCCTCAAATTTTTTTTTGAATTTTGGCCATTCCTTGGCAGATCCACTAAACCTCGGTACGTTCATTATAGCTTGTCGTTTAAGTAGGATTGTCCAGTCTTCCTGTTATAGCATTTGTCATTTCGTTTAGAAGATGGTTAGCATCGTTGCTTACCGTCGGTTTCTTCTCGGATTGGCCTTGTTTAAACCATTTTGCTTGGAACGCTGTGTACATTTTGGACATACCCAGGCCTCAGTTTCCAAAGGTAGCCTTGGTAGCTTTGTGCACGTAACGTGAAACCAACGATCACATTCGTCGCAAGCTACCATGTTGTCTTTGTGGTCTTTGTCGGTACAATGCCGAAAGTGCCCATTTGGGTTATTAACAAGTTGAACCGACATCTTGTCTCTGTTCTTACTTATCGTTTGCTGCTACTAATATTGTAAAGTAGACTGATGCTTGCTGATTACTTGATGAGTTAATTGACAGGCTCTCGTCTATTAACTCAGTATTAAATACTCAAACTCAACTTGTTCCTCTCTGGAGCCAACAATGTAAAATACGAGGCTTGATAGTTAACCGGGAGGGTGCGGAGTTAAGACTACCTCGATTCTACTGTTGCATGTGAACAATAATGGCAGTTGTAAATTACTATACTTCGATTTTTCTGATCAGTTCTTCCTCGCATTCGGGAAGCTATTTTAAAGGTGATGCAAGTAATAACAAAGCTTTCGGATGTGAGTTCAATGCTTCTGAGTCGAGTTCGAGATTAATACAAATATTCAGGTTTATTATATATTATATAATTATATAAAGCTAATGAATTTCTTCCCCTCAATAATAAACATGAATGAACTTTATACCAGCATCTAGGCATCTTTCCTTTCGGTAAATTATACCTGTATAAAGGCGTCCTACTATCTCGGTTTTATTGCACTCAGCAGTCTATTTTGTATATTTACACCTCCGTCTGTTTCAAGTGTGTCATAAATCTATGTTTATGTCTGTCTAGAAAACTTCCTTTGTTCCTCTAATCTTACTAATCTAAATATCCTGACGAACTCATATAGTAACTTTCGATATGTAACACGAAGCTGTTCTTTCACAAAGGTCATTAATCTTGTACCTAACAAGGCTCCTTGTAATTCCAATCTGGGAATGGAAATCGGCTTTATTGGACTCACTCTTGATTTTGCTGTTAAGAGTCTAACACAATAAGATTCCTTGGTCTTACATTTTGTATAAACGCATGCTGCGTAAGCATCTTCTAATGCATGCACAAATATGTGTAATTCCAGTGACGTAGCTTCCTCTGTTGAAATGCATCTTGGAATCGAAATATTCTCGGTTGATTTGATCAAATAAATCCAGTTGTTCCAAGTTGTTTGGTATATCATCATCCCAATCAGTAGACGATACATGTAATTCTTGGCAAAGTATTTTACCGTGTATTGTAATATTACTAATTAATCCAAGTGGGTCATACACGGACATCAGGAACGCCAATACTTCGCGGTTTGTTGGGTATCTGCTAGTTTGTTCTGATTAATGATAAAATCCTTTTCTGTATTCCAATAGATACCTAGAACCTTTTCTACCTGAGATTCCTTCTCTTCAGAAGGTATGATCATGGTTCTTATTCTTCTATCGACAGGGATTGTATCCATCAATTACCAACTATTAAGCTTGAGCTTGATTGACCGTCCACGGTTGCTACTCTGTTATTGCCAGATCAGCTGTAATTACACAGAGAATCAATAGACTGGGACTAGCAATCATCCTCAATGTATACAAACTGGTGATCTCAAATTAGGCAATACCAGCGCCAGCCGCGCCTGAACGCAGTTCAAGAAAGGAATGGGTAGGAATGTGTAGACGTGACACTCGCTTTGATGGAAGCCGAGAAATCCTCTGCACTTCCACGAGGAGTCACAGGGATGTAGGGTTTGCAGCAGGGTTCGTTTTGGTAAACGATAAGTTGAATTGATGTCCGAACGATAGGGAGGAAATGCTCTCAGCCAAATAACCAAGTGGAGCTGCACCAACAGCAACAGCTATTTTGCTGACTTAGGTCCAAAACCAAGCTCCTTCGCGCTATTGAATCGTTAGGACATCAATTCTGCATATCGATTACCAACACGAATCCTACTGCAATCCCAACTCTTTCATCCAACATCCCAGTGATTTCTCGTGGAAGTGCAGAGGCTTTCATTAAAGCGAGTATTTCGTCAACATATTCCTACCCATTCCTTTCTTGACCAGTATTCGGGCGTGGCCGGCGTTGGTATTGCTTAGTTTTAGATCACTAGTATTTACACATCGAGGATGATTGCTAGTCCCAAGCAACGCCAATTGGTTCTCTGTGTAATTATAGCTGATCTCGCAATAACGGAGTTGTATCCTCGGGCGGTCAGTCATACTAATGATGATAACGAGCAACTGTGGCGGTGTGGTTTCGGAGCGCTCTAGCAGGCAGCCTTGGTAAGCTGCTTGCGGTGAGCTTTTCTTCCAGTTCCTGTGCTGAACTGCTTCGTGATGAACGATACGAACACGTCCGAAGTTCCAATGGAAATGTGGCTTCGGTTCGTTTGATACCAACCATGTGATCTCTGTTAGGAAAGACAAATTCCAATTTTCGTTAAATTTCTTAATTGTTTAACTATTTTCACTATTTGTATTATATGCCTAAAATGCTGGATAAATTCTCCGTCGAATGGCATACTGCATGACATATTACACATTAATGCGATGGAGAAATATGCGTTTGAAAACACGCCGCGTTTTCGTTACATGCCTCATTTTCGATTCCTTAATGTGACTCCCAGTATAGTAAAGAAAGGCGTATTCCTACGTGAAAAACTTTTGTTTTAATCTGAGCCATGCTGTATAAGACTCCTCAAATATAGGTAAATCCATCATAGATTGACGGAGAATATATTAGTTTAGTCATGGGTTTCGGGGTTTTATGAAAAGTATCAAACGCAAAGTTATCGCTTACGACACTAAACCAAGAATGATGTTTATTTCCTATTTCACTTCTATTTTAAAAGATTTATCTTGTTTATCCTACTTCCTTCCTATTTTCCTGTTCTAGCTATAGCTCTAACCACTCCGGCTCCAGTGGTGTTCCGTCATTCCGTTCCAGTCCATATGGTTCCATCTTGCGTGTGTTTACTCGTAGCGTTACGTCGTCCTTTCGTATGTTGTTTACTGGTAGCTTTGCGTCGTGTTTATATGTTGCGTTGGGTTGTTGCGTCTTGTCCTGGACCTCGGCTACCTTGTCGAATGTTTATGAAAGTGGCAGATTGTTCATGGGATCCTTTTCATAACTTATTGAGTGTCTGATTTTCTTCCGAAGCTATCTTTATCATTTTTATTAGCTCTTCGAATGCTTTAGAATTTTGAATTTTCTTATCATTAGTACCTTTTAAGCTTATCCATGTTTCTGACTTTGTTGTTTTTTATTTGAATGCCAGCGCATTTGAAAGGAAACCAGCATTCACAGTCATCACAAGCTACCAAATTGTCAAATTCGTCTTCTTTATCGCACAAACGACATTGAGGTTGTTTTGATGTTTTATATCCATCTTTAAATCTATTTTACTTTTTTTAAACTGCTTTAACTGCTTCAGCTTGATGTTTTCCGGTTGCATATCCCAGGTGCAATTTATCTGTCATTGATCGCAATAATTGCTGGTATCGATCGTCCCGCAACGTTGATCTTCAATTTCAATGAATTTATCGCTGCGAGGGGAACTGTTGATTTCTCCAGGGTCAAGTCAGCGGTATTGATTGAGTCATCTTGTTAAATTTTGAATTAGGCAGGGTAAAATAAACAGTCGTCCATTTCCTTAATTCATTCCCTGTCGGTAGATTTTGGGAATTGTAAAATACTCAATAATGGCTATAATGTAAAGATTTTCAAGAGAAAATGGAACTACTTATTAAATGAGTAAAGTGTTTTCCCAC